GGAAGTCAGGTTGTTGGGAAGTACTTAACCAAAGCAATCATAGCTGGACGTCTTTCCCCATTAAGTCTTCTGTAGAGGTTATGATCATACATGGTCGCCTCCTCGTCGATGGGAATCCCAAGCTTCAAGGATACCATTCCTATGTAGACATATTCAGGCAAGTAATTGTGTTGGGTGTAGGCTGTCGCGATCGCGATGTCGGCAACAATATCGGGTCCAACTAATTGGGCGAATCCTCTCGCGTAAGGGTACATGCGGTCCAACGGAAATTCGCAAAAGGAGAGGTACAGTTTGTTGCGAGGCGATCAGTAAGCAAAGTCGCTCCTGGCCACATATCCGAAGATGAAATTGCGTGTTGTGTATTGTGGAACGCGGTTCAAGCAGGCAGTTACCATGGAGAGATTTACTCGATGGTCATCATCTACGGTCGTGAAGAGTTTGACATTTTCCACTCTACAAAATGCCGACATCCACCGGTAATTGGTGACAATTTTCCAAGTGAGGTTGTAGTGCATGTCCTCGTAATCTGGAAAACATGATGACATCATATATTTGCATTTCTTTGTAGATATGCGCTATCACTTCCATCTCTCGACAATCGTACATTTCTAGCAGGTCTCCAGCCGGTCCTGGCAGATTGATGACTTCACCATCACGATCAAACATCCAGCCACCGTGCTTTCTAGGCAAACCCACACTGGAAACCACACCAACTTTCATCCCACTGCCTCGGTTTTTCTCATAATGCATATATTCACGAGTGGACGTGCATTCCACGCCAGCAGTGCGCTCTTGTGAACTATTACGAGGTCGTGCTGTTACCCTCTCGGCATGCCGACTTTGGTGCACTGAGAATTGTAATTGGAAAGTTATAATCTGGCACCTGAAATAAAGCATTCATCACAACAGCATACTGTAGTGAAGACCAATGCAGAACATCTGGATTTGGTGTATTGGGAATGTTGGGCTACCAGAATGAGGACATATTTTTCGAGCACACACGGCTAATGCGTCATTCATTCAGTTCAACAAAGCGGACTTAGGCATGCTGTCGATCACAGCTAGGTCTCAGGCGAAATCAGAAAACAACGACACTTCCTATTTCAACCTTTACAACATTGTGTTTGCCATGCTATATACCAAATATTCAATTTTTTGCCATCTGTTTGGAATGAGAGCTTATAACACAGAAGCACTAACCTCAAGCACAGGAAAGCTCCTTTTAATGGCCTTATCAACGTCCGTCAGGAGAACTTCTTGAGGATAGGTTAGATAGGCCTCCGGAACCCTCATTCTTTCCCAAAATCGCTGCAGCAGAAATCTGAACTCGTCAAAGGCAAAGGATGCCGTCATTTTCGATAACCCAAAGAGTTTATTTGGCTTATATGCTTTTGCCCGTTTACGCCTTTATAGTTGCAACGAAACTCGCACACAGAGAGTGATATTGAAGACCTCCTTCACCAAAATATTTCCATTTTTTGACGGTGGCCGTCGACACGTTGTCGAGGGAATCGTATTCTCCATCCCACTTTTGTATTCTTCTACTTCACTTTCTTTAATGAGTTGCAGTTGTTTTTGAGGGATATGATCAATGCCTGAGGAGAGTATCTGCAGTTCAATGATAAAGAAGAGGATGATGCTAAG